TAAAGACAATTCATTCGGCCTTCCAACTCTCGCGCCGTCGTCCCTGTTGCCTCGTTAATTTCCATTCTTCGTTCAATGCGCAGCCTCCCTCTGTGCCTGATGGACATTTAGTGCCGTGTAATTACGTGAAACGCGCAACAACGCGCTACGTTACGTAAGATACGTTCCACCACCGGATGAGATGACGCGTGTGCAACGCGAGGTGGCGAGCAACTTATCGAAGTTACGCGTAGCGATAAATCCGGAATCGAACCTTTCATGGGGATTAATCTTCTGCATCTACCTCTGAGTTTCTCAAGGATTATGGCGGAAAGTCTCGCCCGCCCTCGCCGATAACGAGCCGTTCCGCTCTTATCGCTCGAAATAAAGCTCGAAGAGTCTTTCAAACGGTTCTTATTTGACGTTGAATCTCCCTCGTGGAAATTTGTTTTGCTCCAGGATATACGCGCCGACGTCAAAGCACAAGGACATGCAACCACGGGACTTTCCTCCGGACTTAATTAAATACTTCGGATACCAACTATCGTCGCAAATATTTCTAGAGAGTCAGTCATATTGGGGACGGTGCGCTTGAATTCCGCCTTCGTTTCATCGTTTTCTCTTTTCTATCCCAACTGTCCTTCCTCAAAGAATTTATGTGGAAAACGAGCGATTGAATCCCGCTAGCTATTATACTTTCAGTTACTATTTATCCATAACAATCCAGGATATACTATTTATTAAGATGGATAAATAACAGACAGAAATTTATGGCCAACGATTCATACATATTTGTATATATTTTACTAAATAAAGTATCGCGTGTACCGCGCGTATGTAAAAGAATATAGACTTCTCATAAAACAAACAACATTTCTCTTTTATTCAATATCTGCATATGACGCACAAACGGAAATTGTATTTAAATGTTAATTTTATAACGCAACGGTCTCGATGTGCTTTTCCGAATTTAATATTTGGTAAATTTTTAATAATGTTGTAACTCGATCATTTTAAATTTCTTATTATTATTTTGGGATGTATTAATAATCAGAGTTGGAAAAGTTACTTTCAAAAAATAACTCATTACTGTAACTCGTTATCGATTTAAAAAAATAACTTGTTAGCATTACCTTTACTCAAAAACTTATTCGTTACTAAGTCGTAACAATTTCCGTTACTTTTTTATCGAATTCTGACGATCTTCCTTTATTCAATACGAGATTCGTAGTTGTTATAAATAAATAATCGTAACATGGTCTAACATAATACTCCTTTTCTTTTAAAAACTTGTTTTGAAACTCATACATGTTTCATATACATACATTGTACGTATGCGAAGTAACGATAAAAGTAACGGTTATATTCGATAAATGTAACTTCGATAGCTCCGTTTTGATAACAGTATTACTATTTATTATAATTTAGTAATGAAACTAATTTTTTATGAGTAACAGTATTATTATTGTTAATAACAACAAATATATGCAACAAAAATGTTACAAAAAAATAACTACACATAATAAAAGATACGTTGTAGTTGTATTAAAACCAATCTACTTGAAGTTTTTAAAACTTTATGTTGAATTTTTTAGTATACATATCACATTGAGTATACAATTTGAGTAGGCATATCCAAATGTTAATTCAACATAATATATAATTATGTTATTTGAATGTATTTAGTTAGTTCAACAATTCTTAGTATTAAAATAATGTAATTTATAAGTAAGTAAATAAATATCATAAAAACACGTTATATTTTAAAATGTAAGTTCTAAGATAAATAAATAAAACACGTGTTAATTTAACATACCATAAATGTTAATTTTTTACTTAAAAAAATATGCTTTTACAACATGCTTACAAATTGTATTAGTATTACATTCTTTGTGTTAATTATTTTGCATAATATGTGAGTTATTTTTTAACATATTAATCTTGTGTTAAATTGACACAAAAATTTATTTAGACTATTGTAGAACATGTGAGGCGTATAAAATTCAAATTCCCTAATTAACTATGTTACGGTAATGACATTATAAGTAACGCGTTATTCTCCAACCTTGTTATAATACATAATATACAGTATGGTAGATGAAAGTATATGTACCTATCCGTTCTCATTCTAAGACACAGATTACAACGCGATTTGTCTTTAATAGTGTTGATTGGATTGAATCTCACGTCGACATTTGTATCGATTGTTAAGCAAAATTTACCCGAGCACATTCGCAGTAATTGTTAGTAAATGGGGTAATTCAAACTATTAAAGCATTCATTTATAGGTTCATTTGAAAGCAAGTTCACAGCGAATAGAGTTACAAATGTAATTGATCGAAATCTCGTTGCAGAAAGATCATGTATTGTAAAATATACTTTATTACCTTTATTTTCTCGCAGAATGGTAACAAATTTCTCTTTCATCGTTGCGATTTTGAAACGTTTCGTTCAACAAATATAATATCAATAAATAGCATATTATGAGTAAACTTTTAATAATCAGGAGACACGGTAATGTTTCAGCGCTAACAAGACAAGCACAGCGACATTACCATGTTAATAAAATTACCCAGTACGTGATTTTTAACACACATATTCAATAAAATAGAGAATAATATCGAATGTTTCGACAGTAAAAATAAACCTAAAAATATGTAGCAAAATGTTTTGTATATCTCAAATAAAATAATATTAGTGTAAAAATGTCCAAATGTAAGTTCATTAACACGCAAATTAAACTCGCGAAAATAATTTTTATCAAAATAATATATTTATTTTTATTCTATATGATTCGTTATATTTTTAAAAACATATTTTGTCACTGCAAGCGATGATGAAAGTGCACTCAAAAAGTTAATACGTTAAAGTTAAATACGTTGCATTAAGCCAAGTTGCATTAAGCCAAGTAAAAAAAATTTGCTTTTGAATGGAATTATTTATAAATACGTTACATTTCCCTTGTTGACTTGTTTTAGCGTTATCTGCCTTTTTTCGCAAAATTTTAAAATACTTCTTGACTGTATTTTTGTCTAAATTTAGAGATTTAAAGTTACTGATAGAAACTACATTTTGTACGCGATAAAGTGTCTCTTGGGAAGACTATTATGAATCGAGAGAGAAATTTGAAGGTGGACTACTGTTCTTCCTCTATTGACCTGTTCTATTCTGAACTACGATGTACGAAACATTTCATTTGAGATACAACGGTGGAAGGTCGAAATTACCAGGGGCAATTATTCGCTGCGAATGCACAGTTATATAAACCTGCCAGAGCTTGTAATTGTCAATTAGACCAACCGAGTCAAGATTTTATCGATTGCTCGATAATCCGTATTTGGCTGTTGCTGGTGAAACGTGGTTGAACGGATTCTCGGAGAATGGTCGTATTTTTGGGGAGAAAATATAATTCTGTTAACGATAAGTCCTGTGGATTTCCGATCTACTAAAGTAAATCACACGTGAAAGTTAATTAAGAAAATCACGAGTTTATAAGCTATCTAACAAAGTGCCTCCTTTCTTACAATTGCGGAGTAAATATTTGAGACTAATTCGAATCGTGGAGTAAAATAAAGTCTCAAACACAATTTTATTGACACACACAAAGAAGATTTCTGCTGAAATTAATTTAGTTACACGGAAAGAACAATTTTGTTAAAGTACCTAAAAATTTAGCTAAGATACAAATCAAAAAATAATTTTGTTAAATTATTAAAATAAATATGTAAGAAGTTCAAATATGATGCAATGCTGCAAAGAGTTTTAATGTTATTTTAAAAGTCGGTTCCTCAAGCATCCTATATAATTATTGTGATATACTGCAACAAAATTATTTTCAGATCTGTATTTAATTAAAATTTTAGTTGCTTATCGTTTACTTTTATTAGCAAAACTATTGTTTCCGTGTTGACATACAATTCTAAAAATAATTTACTTAGTCATCAAAATAATTATGTAGAACGCTTAAAAGTTGATAAGAATGTTGCAAAAAATTTTAACATTATAGCAATCAGTTTAAACGTCCTACACAATTACTTTCAAGATAGAAAAAATCTGAAAAGATTATATTCAGATTTGTGAATTTCTAAATACTTCAACAAAATACGTTTTGTTATCATCAAATTATCTGTTCTTAACGTATTCACAATTTCTTGCATTTCATAATTATCAACACAGGCAATATCACGTAGGCTAATTGCCTAACCAAACGCGTTTATATAATTGCTGCAATAATATTCAGAAGCGGTAAACTGTTCCATATCAACAGAGTGTGTATATTTAAATAAACTCACATATAACTCGCTTTTCACTTGTTAAATTCTATCCATTTAATTTCTATGTCATATGCAATTTAAAGTGTTCGCAAGTAAAACAATATAAGCAATTCCGCCCAGTAATTATTGCATAGATAATAAAAAACGTGAACCTGGAGAAATTTATACTAAAATCTACACAGTTTTTTCAATTATACACGCCAATAAATACAACCTAATGATATCTTATTCCCGCGGTTTCTTTTTAAAAATGAACTTGCTTGTCTCTAGATAATTTTTTAAGGGAAATTATTTTCATTTATAGGTTCATTTACGCTCAATCGTCACAGTAATATCGCATTAAAACATTCATAAATCAGTTAACATAAATAATTGGCTCTAGGGTACGTTTCCAGGATAATCGATCTCTTACCGAAGTTTCACGATATACATCTAGTAACACGAGCTATGTACGTGAGTTATGATTATGTATCTCAAGGGTTCCTGCCCCGAGGTATTATACGAGGTATCGTATAAATATCCGTCGCCCATCATCGCCGTCATCCCGGGCTTATTCCCGAGCCAATTAGGGAAGTAATGTCGACCCACAGGCGATAAAGTTTCAAACACCTCGCGGAGGAGGAGTCGCGCTTATCTTCTCCTGCGTGGTTCCGCGATGTCGCGGGATATTCAAAAGCTTCAAGATGGTTGAGACGATCGCGGTAAACATGACGTGGTCGATGAATAAACTAACGGGATCTCACCTACCGTAGGAATTGTGGCGCACTGTCGATTGACCAGGGGTTTGTTAACACGGCCGCATTCACGGTCCGACTGCGATCCACTCGTTGACACACCACCCCGTGATGTACTACCACTACTGCCTACCGCTCGTCGCGTCGATCCCTCGCTGGTTGCACACGCACCGCTCCGCGGTGTCGATTCCCCGGTGTAACGACCCCGCGATCTCCCCGCTGCTACACCTATATACGGCAGTCACCCTTACTACACGTCGCGATCATTCCGCACGATCGTTCAATCGCTTTAGAATGTAGCCAGAGCTCGCTTTGGAATCGCGCAATCGATCACGACGCGAGATCGAAGATCCTGGAGTAAGTGATATACATTACATGCGCATCTCGGTAGATCGCGGCGATCGCGGCGATCCTATCAAGTTTAGGACGACGAGGAACAAACCCAGCCGCGACGGTGGTCAGAGCGGCACTACGAGCCTCGCGAAAGACCCGGCGCCCCCTCTCACCATCGACCCGGGGTTCGTCCGACCAATCGACGCGTGCACCTTCCTATCGTTTAAGTACATTCCGCTGGATCCGGGCAAATGGCGAGGGGTGGCTCAACTCGCACCGGGGGTGGCGCTCCGTGGAGCGAACGTCGACGGAGACGGCGACGGTGGCGGAGGAGTTGTTTCACGTGTTGCTTCGGCGTAAACACTGACAGATAATTTAATGATGCCAGCCAGCGGACCGTGCGATGTATCTCGGAGAAAAATTGATTGAGTAATCGACGAGGCGCGAAGCTGTATCTCCAAGAGAACGTCGACCGACTCCGGACATTAAAAAGTCGAAGCAACACTTCTGATATTTCACCACGTTAACTCTTTCTAATCTTGGCGACACAATCTTACATGTATCTCAAACTGAAAGTTTTTAATTATGCAGAAATGTATACGAAATTTTTCTATGCAAATTTATTTCAGCTTTATTTTTCAAACGCAAATTGCTTCAAGTCGACTCGGCAGAGTTGAGCACCGTCACGTAAAGATATCTTTTACATTATGTAACTCAATGTTCTGTAATGCGCTGTTTTCCCGGTACACGTTACATTATTATGTAGTAAGCGGATAATATTGTAATGGTGTTATTGTGTATTGTAATACGATACTCTTCTGACACATGTTACGATAATAAGTTCGAGTTAAAACGTTCGAAAAATAAACTACAGCAAGGTGAAGAGAAGTTTTATTATCACCTTGCGTCGAGAAAATTTATCATCATGTAAGAAGCGACGTACTTATCTACGAATAATATTTAAAAATGTCAGTCCTTGTATAGACGTTCTCTCTCTTTCTCTCTACCATTTTACTTAAGCTATTATGTAGTTTGAACAGTTGTTGCATACGTTATTAAAATTCGAGTATTATTTCGTCAATTCGATTAATATATAACGTTATAAAATATTAATTAAATCAAAGGCTCGAATTTAATAACGAATAATCACTTCAATAGAAATACACCAATTTACAATAATCTACAATAAAATTTACAAAAATATATATATTATAAATTTTAAATTAAAATAATTTAATTATTATTTATCTCTATGTAAGAGAGTTCGAAAATCATTCAAAATATTTATCTATTTAAAGAAAACATAAAAAAGATGTTAAGTTGAGAATGTGATTTACATTCACCTCTAATAAAAATATATTTTAAGCTTTATAAGTGAAAATCAAAGACGCTTAGAAAAATTATGAAAAGAGTTTGAACTTTCGCACTCAGCCATTGATCAACTTTTATTATTCAAGAATTTGTAGAAGAAAATTGATTAAGAATTATTTCGAAAATAAAATCTTTTTCTCTCTCATTTCATCTCAAGTTACTCTCTGTTCTTTTTTTTGTATGAGATATTTCATATCAGATATTTTGACAGACATTTTGATGACATTTTTCATATCGACTTATATAGGAAAGACGACAGCTCGAAGGTGCACCGCACATGGAATAGAAGATGAAGGAAACGAACGTTTCAGAAATTGGAGGTCGCGAACGATGAAACATGCGAGAATCTTTATACATTTTACTGGTGCGAAATATATTATCAATTTTCAAAGTGTGGCTGTAAGCAGTAGATCTGAATAGGACATGGTATTAAATTTCGATCAAAGGTCGTCAAAAATGATGAAAAAGATAATAAAATCAGAACAAATGCTTGTGCGGTGATTTATATCAGACGAAGTTTTACACATTTATATCTACATACATAACATGAAAACATTTTATTCTATGTATAGAAGAAAAAGAAAGATGGAAAACAAATCTAACGCTAAAAATTCTTATTTAATACGACACGAATAACGTTTATTCCTTTTTATTTCCGAGATGTGTGACAGGTGATAAAAAACGATGGATTTTTGCGTTTGCGTTGCGATAAATTTATACCTGGCAAAGTTATAGACTGAAAGAGAAGTCGTAATAGAGACGAAGTGCAAAGAGCTCGTTGCTTATTTACACAACTCTCTAAAGCGACCCGACAAGTGCTTTCGCCGTAGCGACGGAATTCCGTGTATACGCGATATTTGTCGCTGACAATGCAGCGCGTGGAGGCAATCGAAACTTTATGCGATTGTTAAACGACGATGGCATCGCTACGTCGAGTAGAAGCAATCCAGCTGCAAACGGAGCGCTTAAAACGGTATCGCTCGCTAGGTAGATTTGCGAGGCTTAAGCGTATTATGAGTCTGAGATCCTCGACTCGCGCGAGATAACATAGTCATTTATTGCATCTCATCGCGATTATCTGTAACGCGCATTACAAGACAATGACTATCAGCAGCTTTACTCAAAGAGGCTTGTAATACGGCTTTTACATGGTATTACACGAGCGTAATATACACTTAAAAAGAATCACGCACAGTGTCTTTATGTGCTGCCTTTCCTATATATTGAAAATCAAATTAAGAGATTACTCAACACGCGTTTATTCATTAAGCTATAAGAAAGTAACGTAAACCTCATAAATATGCAACGAGACCTCCAAGGGATTTTACCCCGAGAAGAGCTATACCTTCACAGATCTAATTGCCATGATATTTAATATCAAACATTTCAAAATTGTGTGTAGGCTACCAATCTTCTTCAATTTTTCTAAAGAATATAAAATATGCTGTTAAGGGCAGCGCGCGTAGGCGGAATATCTCTCATTTCTCCTTAATTTAGCGGATAACAAGGTTAAAACGCGTACAAAATTCGCGTCGTAAACAATTTTCGTCGTCCAAAAGTTACATTTGCTCTGCGAGATGGCCCATAAAATGACATAAGAACTACTTATTACCTGATATTTCTCTTCTACGTCGCGATGCTACTGAGTCGCAAATTTCTTACGTATATCGCACGAACGAGTGTTGGTTGGAAAAGTTATAGTCCCCTCTCGTGCAATTTATATCTCGGAGATAATTCTCCTGACATATATATATATATACACACCAAAGCTCGTCCGCGAATGCTTGATTATGGAACCGTTGACCGGACATCGCAAACGCGCGTCATCCCGGAGCTGACCTTCCGCTCGAGATATTTCTTCCCTCGTGTGGTTCGATAGATTTCGTTATTTATTCGCGCTTCATCTCTATCTCGCATAAGGACGGATCGATAGAATAACGCGACGAAATGGATTATACGTATATAGTGCAAAATTCAATGACGTTAAACTCGTGCTCTCTTCTACGTCGACTGCATGCAATACGAAGGGGTGTCACCGGTATTTGTAAATCATTGTTGACATCCTCTGTGTAAATATCGAAATTTGATATTTCGGAGATGACGAATACAATTCGCGTACTCGCCACATAAATCGGTATCGCATCATATACGCCACTTGACAGACTTACATGCCTGTGTAATTTGACTCTGAAAAGAATATCTTTACAATTTATAAATGTAATTTGTATTTAAACGATAATGTAGATAGTAACTTTAGAGGATTTTAATGAACAAAAACCTTTTTTCAAAATCTATTGCAGATATTTTTGAAAAGAAATTCCAAAGGAGGTAATCGTGAATACGCTATTCAATATAAATAATCGCATTATTATTTATCAAATAGACAATAGCGATTTACAAATCTGTGTCAAGGTGACAGAAGTAAACGTCGATAAAATAATAAAAGATTTGAAGATACGCTAATTTTTTATATCTACATTTTACAGAATAAAATATTATATATTCTTTCTCTCTTTTTGCAAAGTTTAGTTATTTTATAAATTACATTGTATTACACAAATTGAGTACAATAAGTTTGGGTATTTTATTTTTTTATATATTTTATCACATTTGCTTCAATTTTATATTACTTTTTGTATTCAATTTATATACACACACATATGTATATATATATATAATAATAACAAACACTTATAAAGTAACTTTCCCAACCCTAGTTATTTTACAAAAAATGAGGCGCATCGAAATTGAGGCTTTCTAAAAATATCTCGATTAGAGTATCGTTTCTGTCCACTCTATATAATAGACGTACCAAGTCATTTCATATTTGCTTTGGCTTTAGTTTCTTTTCCCTTGAATATCGACTGAATGCTCACTGATATATCAAAAGAGGTTCATTCGCTGGTAAAAGTCGTAACAGTCGCTGTCTGGGAAACCTGAAATCGATTCCCCTGCGGGTATTCACCCCTGCAATGTGCAGGTATAATATAGACTGTGATGAATATACCTTTCGAAATTATTAAACGTTATATCTCAAAGAAAAAATTCTTTCTGCTTTTTTTAACACGTAATAACGGATAAAAATGGGTGTATATTGACAGTTGTGTATAGTTAATATTGACTCACGCCATTAAACTATCATGAAAATTCAAGATACATTTTTCATAAATTTGCATAAAGCATGCAGTTATAGAAATTTCTATAAAAATGAATTTAATTTACGGACTTAATGTTCTGTATTAATTCTCACTGCTTGTAAAGACAAAAGTTTAATATACTGTTTATTTGTTTCAAAGTTTTCCTGCACTGTAGATTACATACAGTTGTAAATATAAAAGGCATATTGTAACGTTATATAATAAAATAAATATCTTAAAGAACCGTTTGATAAAGAAGATTAATAAGAAACTTAGTCGTTCGGAAACTTATAAATTATAATACCGTTCTCTCGAAACATCTTGTCTTTACATCTAACAGCCGTTATGTAATAAATGATTAAGACGTATTACGAGTAATTTTTCAACGGAGTAAACAAAGTTGTCTTGATCAATCTACGTTGAAGGTAAACAAGATATGATCGTTATTAAAATTGGAGCTAATAATAAATTAAAAATAATCTACATACAATATACATATAAGAAGTGTAATAATGTAGGGAAAAAATAATTTTGTTAAAGTATCTAAAAATTTTGATGGATATAGATCTAAAAATAATTTTATTAAATCATAAAAGTGATTATGTATAGGAAACTTAAGTACGGACAATATAAAATGTTTTGACATTCTAGCAAGTAGTTTGAGCGTTCCACATATTATTATTTTAACGATCCAATAAAATTATTTTTATCAAAACCGTTTAATTAAAACCATTCTTTCTATTTAAACATACCGCAATTTTATTTAACGCGTTGGACGATGATATATGCGCTAGATACTACGACGTAAGCTTGACGTTAGATCAATCAGAACTTTGCATTGTTAGTTTTGATTGTTAGATCGTCGCGGTATGACATCATTAAGTGTTGTGTGTGTGAGACCAATTCAGCATAACCACAACTGTCCAGACACAGTAAAGTGGAGAAACGCTGTCCCAGCTGGTACATCCATTATAAAGTTTGGTAAATCCGCTTCCAAATAAACTTAAGCTATTTTCCTATTTAATCCAAAATCGGAAAATAGCAACGTTAACGTTAGAATCGCCTGCGGCTCGTACTCTGAAATATATATTTTGTGAACAAAATATATATATTTTAAAAACTATTTCTCTATATAATATTGAAAATTACCGGCGGTTATAAATGATGAAAAAAATATGAAAAAACTCTTTATGATTCCACTAACGTGTAAGAAAAGTGCTTCTGATGGTTCTAGGGTATGCTTGTACAGAAAAAAAGAAAGTAAGGGATAAAATTTTCACGGAAAGGTTTTTAGAAAAATAATACTTGAGAGGGAAAACTTTTGCTGATTTATAATATTTATATTATTGAATCTTCGCAGCTAATGGCTTTGGGTAAATATATTTGGATGTATAATCTAGAAAAATTTACCCGAATTAATATCGAGAAGTAAAACCTAGCGATGTGGTATATTTTATATACTACATATTATACATTATTATATAACTTAATTCCTTTCAAGCTAGATGTCACTAGCCTGCAATCCTATAAAAGCAATTCTATAAAAAGTGTCAAGATGTATGTACACATGCGTATATATATATTTAAAAAAGATAGCTTACAAATTCGCAAAATATTATATGCTATTATATATATATACATATATGTATATATCAAACTAAATAAGCGCATACAATTTTAAAAAGCACCAAATTTACGTTTTATCAATAATTACATTTTTTGAATAATTAAATAAGCAGATAATTTATTATTGCTATTGCTTCTGTTTTTTTAGATAAAAAATCAATTCTAAATAATTATAGAGGAATATTTATGAAAACTATTGTATGTTTATATAAAAACTGTCGAATACTATTAAGTGATATCATAATCCCAGAAACTCCATCCCAAATTTCAGGAACCCCAAATCCCTTTATCGATCACACAGATATTTGCGTTTTTATTTAACGTTCACGACAAAACACGTTATCTCTCTCATGCCAACAATTGGTGACGATTAACAAAGAGTTAAGGTTGTCAATGCGATAGAATGGTATTTCCCTGTGCGTTCGCCCCTAAGATTAATTACATATTATGGATGATGAAGGAATAAAGGACACGCATTCAGGTGTCTCTCACATCTCAGGTGATGTTCATCCCCCGCGGCGATCAGAAGCGTCTCGCACGCAACAGCTTTAACGTCGAGTGGGTCGTAGTACAGAGACAAATGCTTTCGCCGGTTACGAATATTGATTTTCGACTTTCGAGGTTTCTGGAGCAAGCTCGATGCAGTTGTGACGCAGGCGCCAACGCCGACGCCGACGCAGCATGGCGGAACCAACCGTTGTTTGCTCTGTGGCTGAACAGCATCAGGTATCATCTAGTTGATTTTTCGCAATTGCTGCGTAAGGCCTGCGTGTGAATCGCGCGAAAGCAATCTCGAAGATGTAAGTCGCCCACTTGTCAGATCGTCGTTACGATTAGTTATTTAGTCTTGCGACGAGACCCCTCCGAGATGAACGTGAATGTGCACGTCCCTATCACGTGCTTCCTGCTTATCATACTGATAGCTCTTACGAACGGTGAGTGTGGAATATTTCGAATAAAAATGTAATTCTGCGATATACTGTCACAAAATCAGTGGTGTAGTCAGGCCCTGGCGGAGTCTAGCGCCGAGGCACTTATTTTCGGAAGTTTGGCGGCGCCACGATACTTTCTACAATCATTTAAAACTAATTTTATATGTTGTGTAACAAGACGGTAAGAACAAAAAGAAACGTTTAAATATTTAGTGAAACCTGAATTTTGGCATGACAATGTGGCAATGGCGTAACTAAGTGTCCAAATTTGTTTCCTTTAAAGATATCGAAAAGATACCAAAAAAATACCAAAAAAAATATTATAAATACTAAGAAAAATAAAAAAAATATTACGATGTAAATTATTTAATAAAAACTGGGATATTTGCAATATTTTATTTAGTATCAGAATAAATATACAATAACTGTTTCTAAGTACACAGATTTGATAAAATGCGGCTTATACCTATTATAATTAGAATAAGGAATTATAAGAATTTATTCAAATTTGTAAACATAAATGTAATATTTAGATAAATAAAAAAATACAAATATATTATACAACAAAATTTGGAGCACTCCAATATGAACTTCCCCCTTATTTTGAAACACCGCCAGAGAATATTTATTGTTAGGACTACACCGCTGGTTACGGTCATTTTTAGAATTTTTTTCAAACTTACGTAGAGAGAGTAAACATTTTTTTTTTAAATTAATTTCTTTAATAGAAAAAAAACTTCCATATGTGTACAACTCTGAAAAGATACATAATTAGGATTAACTGTTGTTCAATTCTTTTGGTGTATCAAATCTAAAAATGAACAATGAAATTTTTTAACACTAGAATCGCCTTAAAAGTATTTTTTGCCTTAACTATTTTATCTTAATAAATTTTAGCGGGGGGAATATATATTACTTTGGATAAATATCGCGAAGAATATTACTACGCCATCAGAGGTCTATCGATATTCACAAATTCTCGCAAGTGCTTTAATACGCGTATATCTCTTCATATAGAATCTCGATTGAATAACTCTCTCAGGCGTATAAGATAGGTTTCCACTACAATGCCTTCCTGAGTCCAGTAGTGGAAGCTGGGACGCAACGCCATAATTACGTGATATTCTTCGCAATATATTAAATTAATTTAAAAAGATTTTTAACGTAATTTATTGGTTCATTGCCCTGTTTCTCTATATTAGTTGTTAAAAACATATTGAGCCTTATTACAAACATTTTAATAAATTTATATCCGTGATATGCAAGCGCAAAGAAAAAATGAATTAGAAACGAAAAATATTTATAAAAGATAAATTATTTATAGAATATAATCTACAATTTTCTCATTTTTTACATTTCAAGTTCTTTCAATATATGTTTCTAAAAGTTATATTTTTAGGACACAGAAATATAATTCGATAACAAATTTGTTATGTTTCTGAGTAAGCTATTTCGATTAAAAAAAGTTGGCCAAAAGTCAATTTTCTCAAAATCACACGACACACACACACATTCTTGCTTTATATAAATAACTATCTGAAACAGTTGAATATCTGCAAAATAATGGACCGATATGTTTTTTTCATGCTGTTGCAATATATTATGTTTATTTTAATTATTATTAATATTTTTACACATGTGATTTTAATTAAAATTAATTAATTTTTAATTAATTAATTGATACAAGTATCCTATTATACTTTTTATGCACGTGCATGTATACGTAATACGAATGACTTTTATGATAAAACAGGGCAGCTAATGTCAAAAGAACATCGTACCCACGCGGCTTCTGAAAGGGCCAACGACTTATGGTGTTATCAGTGCTTCACTATGGATCACGGTGAGAAATGTATCACTGGCAATGGTGGCAATTTCAGTGACTACGAGCACAAATGCACGGACGACAGAAGAATCTGCATGGTAAGACGAGATAGGTTTGTACCTTTCGTTCTTACACAATTCGATTAGTGTCAACTGCGGCGATCCTTCTATATTAAGATTTGCATCGTAATTTCGTACCTACACACACACACACACACACACACACACACACACACACATATATATACAAAACATACAGAATATAATATTATGTAAAAACGTGATTGATGTGATTGACCTACTTTCAGAGGAAAATTGGAATAGTTTCCAGTTGCTCTGAGTTAGTTAAAGCGAAATTTTAACGAACGTGTTCGTGGTGAATTCTCGTATGCGTTCAATGCAAATTTGTTACGATAATTTAAACCTTGTTTATCTGAGCGAATTAATATATAATTGAACATACATACATACAAATATGTTCATGAGCGAGCATTTATCCGTGCGATCAAATTATTACATGAGTGAGGTACGTCGTATCACAGCTATTTATTATTTATCAAGTACAGTAATTGTCGAAATGTCAAGTGATATGTATATTTTAGAAAAGATTTCATTTATTTCCTCTAATTTCTAATATAACGAGGGAATAATATGAAAAAATGCTGTAATACTATTCCTCTGACAAATTTTAATTTTAAATATTGTATGTTTAAAATACTAACTTAAAATACTAACTTGAATAATCTTTATATTTATCAAAATTTCTGATATTATTCACATATGCATTAAAAACAACCATACTTTTGCAATATTCTGTTTTTTTTTAGAAAAGACTCAACATCACACATATCTACAAAATATATCTACAAAATATACAAATAAAATATATAGAGTACGAGCTATTGGTTTTCCTTTGTGATATAGATCCTCGTACGAGAATCCGTTGTTAAATATTTCTACACAGAACATCGCTACATAAAAGCTCTTAATAGCGTATATAAAGTCTGATTACATAATGATGACGATTACATAATGATAAAGCAAACAGACTTCTTTTCCAATATAATTATGACTACGTCGTTTAATTTACAATGTAATTATGACTCTTGTCTAATTTTCCTGTGAAAATCTCATATGAGAGTTCAACAGAGGGACGCGGTGCTCGGTAGAACTGCACATTTAATAAAATTGAAACACAATGTGAGATGAGCTTATACGTTGCAGGTAAAACGATTTTCCTACACCACCAGTACCGAGAATTCGACTTCCAGTCCGAAAACGTGGTCCCTCCAGAGAAATTGCACAAACAAATGTGAACCTGGGTGCATCGTTATCGGCGAACGCACCAAGCTCTACGCCTGTACCGCTTGTTGCGAGACTAATTTGTGCAACAACGGCACCGGCACCGCCAACGACCTAACGATTAAAGAAATCGATCTCCTGCTAGCCCTCATGCTCCAAGCTATTTTGACTGTTATTATGTATCCGTCCTGACAGTGTTAATAAAGCTTCTAATTACAATAATCACAATACAACCCCATAGTCCACGGGTGTTGGCGTACGGTGACGCTTTGCTTTATCAGAGTCCTTCGAAAGATACAATATATCCCGTAAAAATCTTATGGGCTTTCTACAATAAACCATTATCTGAGTTTAAGTGTTAAGCTGTAAGAAATTGACCAATCACAATCGAATGTGAGAAGAATAATCAACTACAATTAATCAATTTCTTACATGCGTATTTCTATCTTGTACATGTGCGTATATGATGTGAGTTATAGATTGTATTTGTATTTTGTTATAATATAGGAAATCTTTTTCTTTATGACTTTCTTGAAAGTTTATAAATACATATTTTTTAATATAAAAATGATTAGATGAGTTTATAGCGCTAAAATTCAAGCAGTAATTTTGTTAAAAGTGAAAGAAATTTTTATTTAAAAAATTATTGTTTTAAAGAGCTAAAAACAGTGTGAAAGAGCTCTACTTTCAAAAGGTCTTTTTGTCTTTTGAATTCTTGTGAACTTAATAATTTTTACACATAGAAAGCGAGCTGGAACTACGAGCTGGAAAACTATATCAAGCAATAAAATAGTTTTTAAAAGCATTTTTATCTATCGTTATCGGCAGCCTTAACGTATTTTCGAATCTTTGGAATTTGATGAAGCGCAGCACACAAAATCGCTTAACTCTTAGTACTAATATTCATATATTAATAATCTTAATTCTTTTAACCCGGCTGTAGTTAGCTGATCGTTCAAATTGGAACAATGCTAGAGTGAAAATTATAAATCGAAAGCAAGATTGATTCGCGAGAAACTAATTGTTCTACATTGCTTTCACAAATGTTTCACATCTATCTCAAGTACGGTAAATATTTAATCGCTCTCACTTTTTGTTGTCAAATTGCAATTTTATATCTAATTACGAGAATAATTTAAATTCAAACGCGCTGTGAAGAACTGGAACAAAATGGACGACGATTACTTATTTAAATTTACCGACCGTGAATTATTGTTTGAGAGTCTGGCGTCATCTAGCATCGATATCCTATATTGAAGCTGAGATTACAATAGTATCGACTGCATGTAACTTAGCAAAATTGAAAATTAAAAATATAAGTACAACTTTTTATAGTTACACAAATGGAGAAAACAATGAAAAACAATGAAAAATCAAGAAAGGATCATATTTGCTAAAAAAAATTTATTTGAAGGAAATAACATCTATGTAACATAACTGACAGATCATCAGCTATCGATTATTAGTTACTATGTCAATTGTTTATTAATTTTTTGTGTAACAAAATAAAATAATAAATATATTATCATTTAATTACACATTTATACCTTCCAATATATGTAGATATATTTTCATGTTCAAAATATTGTATATTTATAATCTTTTTATTTAAATGGCAAATTTACTTACTCTAGACCAAGTTCCAACAAAAATAAATATACTTTTCACGCGCAAATAAGATAATCGTATGTCATGCCTGATCACTCATTGTCAGTTAATTTCGTAAGGCTAAGTCTCGCGACTTACAATTCTCTCGAGAGGATCGCGATTCAAGTCGACGGTCTCTTCACCGCTACCACCAACAATAGTTATATTCGCGTTACTGACACACCACTCCAGTTGTATCACCCTACCTTTTCCTCGTCCTTGTCCCCCTTCCACGGCGTTCACCTTCACATGTCCGCGGAGATCTCCGCTATTTCGCAGCTGCACCGGTATCCTCGCCGCGTCCGCGAAGGATCAAGATGGGGATTTATTTATTACCTGCAACAATCGCACTGTCCGTGACGTTAAGCGCTTTCCGCGCGTCGACACTCTTCCCCGAACGAATACCGAGAAACGTACGACGCCAGGAGGAAACTCTTTGCACGTTTAGCACGCACACGTCGACATGATTGACGCGTATTCGAGACAGATGCATGTTGTGTCACATAAATATACGAAAAATCCTTTGTGTCTCGCAATTAATTGGTCGTAAAATCGATAGCGCCGTACTACGTCGCATCGCGAATATTCTGCACTTTGCAAAAACTATTCGCACGGGAAACCTGTGACAAAGTATACAATTACGCCTAACTGAGACATTGTAATTTTAATAATATTTAATTTTACATATTTACTGAGACATTGTAATTTTATTTCTGATCTGGATCACATAATACAATCCACGCAATCAGGATACTGCTACTTTAAAATTTTTATTTAAACCTCATTATTATTTCATTCTCGTGATTCATTTATAATTTTATTATGTTATTTTTATCGCACAGATTAAATCTGATAAAATCTAATAAATTTTTATCAAAAATCTAGTAAAGTATGTAAATATTATATAACACCATTCTTATACATAGTTTGGATTTCATGCAATTCTATTATTATTATATATTAAATTTTCATTAAAAATATTATAAAGAATTATAAATGAAAAAATTAAATTGATAAAAATAAATTAGATAATAAAAAAATCCTATTTTCGTCGTGGATCTCGGTGCTTTAATATTTATATGTATTATATATTTATAAATTTATAAATTTTTTATTATTAAATTAAAGATTATGTAATTTGTGCTGGTTCTAACTTCAGTTTATGAATGCGTTTTAAATCCGACAACTGAATCAGTGCGCAGTTTATACAAGTGATAAATGTATTTGTGAATTTACCTATAATATGTACATGTGAATATTATTAAGCACCGAGATTCATTTCGAATAAAAATAGGATTCTCTTATTTGATTTAAATTTAATAAATCTACATACACATCACACACAAAATTGATACTAAATTAAACGTAATGTTTTAAATATGTGGATCGATACATACAATGTGTGGCTTCATATAAATTCAACAAAAATATTTTATTACAAATCGTATTGTTTAATCAAAGAGCTGGTTCTCCAGCTTCAAAAAATGAAGGAGAACCATGTGACTCTTCTTATCTTAACATGAGAGCACAAAGAATGCCATTGCTATCTTCCAAAAAATAAATATTGAATTAAATTTAAGTAGTAAACTTATAATTTGTTATTAAAAATATCTTTTTTATAATAGAAATAAATATTTATGTGGAAAACGTTGAAGAAAAATTGTTTGTAGTATTTATTTAAATTTAATTTAGATAATTCTGATGGAAACGACGTTGCTACATTGTCTATCATTAGCGTGACGTCGTTTAAAAGGAATTGATAAACTTGTCATACTCTTACACAAAAATGATACGGTGAAACTTTATTTTTTTTTTTTTATTTCAAAACGTTTTTTAATTCTATTCTTTTATATCCATGAGACTCTTCAAAATTCACATATTTTGTTTACAATTAAATCTTTTTTCTCATAAAATAAATTTAAGCTATTTAAAAAAATTATTTAAAGTAAACTATATAATCAAAAATCTGAAAAATTTAGGAATGCCTACACGCAAAAAAAATATTTTGCTGCTTCAACCAGAATTATCACCGTTTTTTTTTTGTATCTAGTAGAAAATAATGTATCATACATATAGAATTTATAACACAATAGTGTAATGATATATGTAAGAAAATTTAGTTTCTCATAATCAAATGAATCGCTGCTAAATATAAATCACAATTACAGTCATCTGATTAAACATTACAGAGAGATTTTCTGAATTAACAATAAAGTTCGGATATAAATTCGATCTCTGTCATTTTATATTAATTAGACACAAAACATATTATCCAATATCGCAGTTGAATAATTTTTCACTATAACTGCAAGATCATTTCTATCAGTATACATATTAATTACACCAACTTAATTATAAACTTATTGTCAATATTTGATTTAATTTTTATATTATATATAAAAAAAGACTGAAAGATCTTAAATGTTTATTCAAGAAATGAAAAGTTCAACAACACAGTCAAGCAACACTTCCCTTCCATCAATCGCTTTTATAACAATGCATTACGCAACGCGTCGATCGAAAGACTTCTAGACTCTCATTTCCGCAAGATTCATCGGTTTTACTAGAAATAGTGGTCATGTTGTGAAAATTGACCGTATGTATCGTCCCTGGCTCGCAGCCACGACAGTTGTCTGTGTTGGAAGCTGTCTACTACCATCGCGCGCGATAAATGTTCGTACGTCTGGCGTGGCTGCGTCATCCAGAGAAATGAAAGAAAAATCACGACGGCGATACTGCGCCGGCAAGACATCGTCAGTCGCCGATTGTTTCCGACTTGTCAAATGCCGGGAAGACACGTCCGTGATCGTCACACTCCGAAGTCTCCGGAACACGGTCGGTCAGTGCGAGGACGTGAGGCATCGAGTGTGCCAGCATGCACGTGTCATTGTCCATCGCGATTCTCTTGCTACACCTAATCTCGGCTCGTCCGATTCATCCGGAAGTCGTGCATCGATCAGGCGCGTCAAAGAAATGTTGCGTTGCCGGTTACGCGTTCAACGAGGACCTAGAGTGCGTCCATGAAGAGCCAGACAAATTCAATTACACTACGCATGATGCCTGGCGAACGATCGCCCAACATCCACGGCAGATCACCACGTTGATAGCGTCCGTACGGGGCTTGAACTGCCGCGACAACGAAGAGGATGACTCCAGTGATTGGCGACATCCGATTCCATCGGATGACCTCCCTCGCATCTATTCCATCTTCAGCACGCCGAGAGACTATTGCATTGAAAATATGATCAACGGTACGACGGTGCTGATCAAATGCGCGGAGGCTGATCAAATGTCGGAAGTGACACAGGACAGAGACAATTCGACGGAGACGACAGTGGTAATGAAAACCACGACAACGACGACAACGACGACGACGATGACGACGACGATCATTACCGTGACGACCATCACCACCGTCACCACCGTCAACGTGACGAATGTATCGTCAAGGGAGGACGAAACGAAGGCCATCCATCACTGCAGCGATCTGAGAAATGTGTTTTTCTGGGGCACTCAGACTTACATGGACACCAACGTGGCCCACGTAGTCCTCTCCACCATTGTCGTCGTGGTATACCTGTCCGTTCCGGAACTGGCTAGGAGTATCTACAATCGCGCGGTGCTCCGCCACAACGTCTGCTTGCTGCTGCAGGGGTGCTTGTTGACGTTTCTCGGCTACTGTAACTTGTGCGGCATCCCGATGAGCCACAACTTGGAAACATTCCTGTGGATACTAATGCAGTACTTCACGAACGCCACGGTATTTTGGCTGAACGTGATCTGCTTCGACATGGCCTTGTCCATCACGCGGTTCCGTTGGATGATAAGCTCGGGTAAGCAGACGAATCAAGAAGAGAACAGGCGACTCCGGTTATACGGGGTTTTCGCGTGGGGCGGCGCCTTCCTACCCGCCGTCGTCGCCATCATCTTGGAATTTTGCCCTGGCATCTCGGAGGACTTCCCGCTTAAGCCGAATTACCGCCGTTATCACGACGGGCCGAACTACGTGGTGAACCTATACTTCTTCGGCCTACCCATGCTAACGCTCTTCCTGAACAATGTGCTATTTGTGTTCACCACGTACAAGATTATACGAATACAGCAAAGTACAGAGATAGCGACGAGGAATCAGTCCAACGCCCTCAGGAAAAAGTACTTCCTCTTTTTGCAGCTGTACCTGCTGATGGGCGCACCGTGGTTTTTCGGTTTGCTCTTCGCTTGCATGAACAAGCTTATGGTGATGAAGATATGCCGGCTGATATGGCCGATTCTGTGGCTTCTGATGCTCGCTACCCACAAGAAACAACGACGGAGACTCGTCAACAAGTTGCGTTGCGGGCAAGAAGAAGCCTGAGATTATCGCAGTAACAAGCAAACCAATGACTTTGCGCGATTTAAAATTGACTTGTACCGTCGAAAAAATATGCGCGTGACGGATCCTTAGTCCTTATCAACCGCAAAACCGCAGCGTAGAAAATCATGGGATACTCCTTCTATTGTCATACAACGATTACGTAATAATCGCGCGGCGACTATATAGTTCCTTCTGCTAGTTCGCGCAAATTGCGCGCTCGCGGGCATTTGCATTATTTTCTTGCGCAACCCGTTGAAAACCCCCGTCTCGAGGAAAAGAAGGAATAAAAAAATCAACGACGTTGCCGCCGCCGCCGCCGCCGCAATATCCGATGCCGCGAACTGAGCGATGAGTCGTAGAAAAACTCGGGTACGTGGCGTCGTCGCCGTCGTCGCGCGGTAGGATAATAAAGGAGTCGTGGCGCGACGTCGTTTCCTGCCGGGGCATTTTAATTACCGTATTCGCGACGCGCCATCACTCGCCCCCGCGCGCTTGTATTATTATCTTTTTTGTTTTACTACGTGTAGAATATTAACCTGTTAGTGTACAACGCGGAAGATACATCAGCGGCGGGCGCTTTTTCTAGGTGATCTTCCGCACCATGGAAAGACGCAATAAAAACGTGATTCTCTCCTCTTGCGGGAAAACCTCGCCTCCTCTGTGCTAACAGGTTGAAATATAACTGCAAAACGCTCGAGAGATATTCTTTATATTTTCTATTCTACCGAATGTCATTTTTGTACCTAGTATTAGACGTAGATAGGAAGGTTCTCGTGTAAATATCGCAGACATTACACGGAAAGAAAGATTTTGTTTAAGTATCTAAAAATTTTAATAGATACAGGCAAAAGTCTAAAAATAATTCTGTTAAAATAATTATGTAGGATACTCAAACTGGTTGCTATGCATGCAGAAGAATATTATTTTATCGTTAAGAAAAGTAATGACTCAATTTATTTATTTTCTTACTTTTAAGTAAATTTTTATATTCGATAAGATATATATATATAATAATAATCTTGAAATATAATACTTATAAATTTTAGAAAAACTCATTATTATGTAAAATCAAAACAAGAATTTACTTTCTTTTGAAGAACGTTATAAAATTGATCGACGCGCGCGAAACAACTTTATATAACTATATAATTAACTATTTAAATTTGGTGTTTAATTTAATAATCTTGATTAAATTGTTAGACTTATTAAGATTCATAATATATTTTGAATAAATTTAATACTTGTAATGAAGTTGCGATAGATTCACGGATACATTAACTTTTGAAATATATATTTGAAAGAAGTGTAGTAATTAGTAATTACTTGTATCGTATAATAGATATGTATTTTTCTGTTAAAAATTTTTTGCTTGCCATGCTTGAGATTTCTACACTAAAAAATAATATATAAAGTTTTAATACATAATGTAAATATTTATCTATATATATATATCAACTAAACTTTACTTATACAATAAATAAATATTTGTTTAATAAAAATGGTAATTAAATCAAATTAATGATTTGGTGCAAAAAATATATTTTCATATTTAATAAACACTTAGTTGATATACGTTTCAAACAAATGATTTATTAAAATTTAGTACATTTTTTCAGCGTATGTAATTTATTTTAATTAGCCAATAAAATTATTTTCAGATCTATATATCTAGCTAAATTTTTAGTTTTTCAGCAAAATTGTTCTTTCCGTAAAATAAAAATTCTGATATCTAGTCAAATATGAGAGAACAAACAAGTCAGTTAACAATAAATACGACTTACGAGAAGAAATTATTTCAAATCACGATATCCTCTCAATAGCGCAATAACATCGCGTGGAATCGATAAGCAATGGCCTACGGGCCTACTTATTAACGGCATATTGATTTAATGTTCCAGTTCGTGCAATACTACAAAAAAAGAAAAAGAGACTCGTTATAGTTCTGTTGAGCCAACCATACATTATCGGATTGATCAGATATTTCTAAAATGTAACAAAGAACAAATGTCGTTTCGCGTGTGTAATATGTATATAGAAGAGATAAAAAGATTAAAATGACAACTACTTTGTTACACAATTTATTAGTTAATAATTAAAAAATATATAAATACAATTTGTTATAATACTAACTCGCAATATTTTATAAATAGGGCAAGCCGAATATTTTTTGAGAGGAAACCGAGAAGCTCTGTTATTTTAAAATGCAGGAACATGATCTGAAAATAAATTCATATGTAAAATTGTAGAGAGATATTCGACTCAGGGAATCTATCAAAACGAAAATATATCCATGACCAATATTTACGTAACAAAATGTAAACAATTTAAAAACGCGATTAAAACGTAGTTTGAACTGATAATGTATTTTCTATATACGTCCTCTACGAGGATAAAGAAAGAAATGTACTATAATCTCTCATTCTATATGTGCGAGATATAACGTTAACGATATATTATGTTGTTAGAACTTTAATTGCAATTATTTATATAAAGATATTACTGCATTAAAATATAATTTTTGTTAAATCGATTTTTATTTTTACCTCTATTATTAGAGTCTCTATTATTATATCGTTCTATGTATTTTTAACGTATGTATGCATACCTATTCATCTTGAGTTTTCCACATAAAGCTGTTAACTAGGAAGGCTTATAGTTAGCTAATCTACGCAAGTATACATGGACATGACGTGAGTCATCGCCTGGATATCGCTGTCATAGATTGCATCAATATTTATGCCGTGTCGTAGCATCGCGTGTGTGCAGATTCGTGTATGTTATTTTGCGTTAAAACAAAAGCTAATTTATATGCGTCAAATTTTTTGTCGGTCAAGTCACTTCTGCATTTTACGGACCTCGTCGCGTCGTGTCGCGCGATTTGCGCATGAACAAATGCAAAAAATATTATACGAAGTAATAATTTGAAATTTGACATACTGGAGATATTACGCGTGACAAGCACGCTTCGTTAGCAGACTCCCTTGTCAAGAGATATTTCGGTGATCATTATGTCTAACCGGCCTTTCAAAGCCCGAAACGCTTTTCATCCTGCGGATCCGCCGCACGGTATGCAAAATTACGATGTGGGCGCTCTAATGAGAGATCAGAAACAAGCTTTGAACAAAATGAAGATGACGACTCGAAAGGAAAACGAAATTTACTTTAAATCACATTCAGAAATCAGAGGTCTGATCGGTATTTTATTGAGGTACACTCGCTATATAATACTTAATAATTATATCAGAAAAAAATACATACGGATCTTAAATTAATTTTGTTTGGACCATCAGAATAATTATATAAGACGTTTCAACTTATTGCTAGAATGCTAAAACTTTTATAGCTAAGTTATCAACTTTAAGCGTTTTACAAGTTTTAATAGTCCAGTGAAATATATATACATATATTTATGTTCTAGTTTTGTTGATATAAGTATCTGAATTTTTATTTAGATACAGATCTAAAAATAATTTTGTTGTGCCATCAAAATAATTATATAGAACGCTCAAGCATGATGTGCCGCAAAACGTTTTAATATTTTAGCAATTTAATTTAAGCGTGCTGTATAATTATTTTAACGGTCCAGCAAAATTATTTTCTGGTCTGTATCTTTTAGATATTTCAGTAAACTATTTTTTCGTGCGTGTATCACTGTGTAGAATTTTTATATTCAATCTGTGTTTCTTCCCTAATAACAATTTTATTTAAAAAACGCGAAACGCCAATTATAATATTTGATACGTGACGAGAATATCGTTTGAGATTAATGATACGTCATTAAAATCGCTCTCGCAGGCACGTCCTATCGAAGCAGCCGCTCATCGATATTCACGAGGTTGTAGGTACATTTTTCAACAGACCACGTCGAGAAATTGTTGCTGACCTTTTGGATTACTTGTCGTCTGCCGATAAACGATCGGACGTAACGGACGATCTTCGACGGGAAATATTTCGAACAGCTAACTTTGAAACTCGCAGTAGCAACGATTTAGACTCACAGTCCCATTGTAGCTCATGCGACTGTATGCAACCGCACGAATGTGATTCGAGCAGCCAGCGTTGTGAAACTCACAGTAGCAATGATTCGCACTCGCAATCCGATTCTAACTTGTGCAATTGCAACCGCACGGATGTGACTCGCAATTTTCAATACTAGTCCAAATATAGAGTCGATTTACATGGTTACATTTACAAATCTCGTTCAATCTTTAAGCAAAAAAAGATATATCTAAATTTTAATGATAATATACGATTAGATGATCCAGTCGTGTGAATTTTTCGTAGATTTAAAATCAAATTCGATTTTTTTAACGAAAATATATAGAATAGGGTCAATATAATACTACAAATGTTTTGAAGCGTTTTTTGATCGGTGATCGATCAATTTGTAAAAAAAACTCTTTCTTTTGTTTAATCAATCGAATGCTACAAAGCATTTGTAGTGAGACTTTGACCACACCCATAATCCAGGATGTGTTCGTTATTGAACGTTATACACACACAGAAAGAAAAGTTTTTACTAAAATATTTAGCTAGATACAGGTCCAAAAATAATTTTGTTAGATCAAAATAATTATGTAGGATGTTCAAAGTGGTTGCTAGAATATAGAAACTTTTCGCAACATTACTCATTACCTATATGCTTGAGCGACCTATATAATTGTCTTTATAGGGAGAGTTTAACAAAATTATTTTTAAATCTGTGTATCTACACGAAAAAAAAGGTTTGTTAAAACAACTTAAAACTTCACTAACTTTGTAAATCTACAGCCATAATATACGGACAGCTATAGTTTTTTATGTTAAAATCTTAAAATAGCGATATATCAGCTGAGTAAAATTAGTGATTACAGGTAAATAGATTTGTTGGAACAGCGCAGCGCAAAAAATTAATTAATACGACATCAAAGATAACTTTCTATAAAATTCCAATATATGTGTATATAAATCTAAAATTTTAACAAAACATCCTGGCTAAAATGGCGTATTTTGCTATATAATATGAAAAAAAACTTGTTACATTAGCAATTTCCATTGAAACAAAGAATTAGCTGAATTAGCATACTGATAATTGCTTACAGACATGATTTCTTTCGTTGAATCATCAAATCTTCTTAGTTATGAATGTTGAATTCGCGCAGCAAATTATAGTTTGGCTAAACTATCAAATCTATTTTTTTTCTATGAGATAGCTAAATTTTTATCTAACCTTTGACTGACACCGTGCGGGGTACTAGACGCTCCAGCGTATTTCAACTCTAAATTAAGAATCCTTATTGTTAGAAAATGGGATTTGTAGTGCCGTCTGTTAAAATTAAATTTCACTAAACATTTCAAGAATATCCTGAATTTTTGTCGAGTCAAAATATCAAATAGCCTACTCGCGGCGAACAATTTTATGGTTAGGGTATATTAGACTGGCCCCACTATGCGATTCTAGAGAAATGTGCCAGCTAAAGGTTAAAACAAAACTATACT